TGTTTCAGCTCCCCTATTCTATAACCATTCTCATTCGTAACATTCCAACAGAGCCCAAATCATCACTTCATTCTAAAACCATCTAACAGATCCAACTGAGCTCGTATAAATTTGGATATGCAGGAATGATTGGGCATGTAAAGGCAGCAAATGTAAGGAGCAAAACAAGAGTCATAAAAACCAAACTTGAGTTGTTTATGTACTCCAATCATAGAATGCCTCAAAGAAACAGCAAAACCATGCCTCAAATATGTAGCTAAGAAAAACAGCCCTCACGACACAAATTCAGGCCCAAAACAAGGGACAAAACTGAACCATTTCGAGGTAAAATCGAGCCACAAATCTCAGGCTAAACTGATCCCATGAAAGGGGCAAAAACAGTGAAGTTCAAAAACATATGTATTAGATTAATGATGTATACTAAAGAATATGGTTTAACTAATATGTTCTAGCGGCAGTCAACATATTTAAAAGAAAGCGTGTTTGTATATCAAAATCATCCTATAGTTGGTTGACTTCACAAAAACATAAAAATTTAGAAAAAATGAGTATGAAAAGAATCTGTTTATTTCTCCAACAGATAAATATACACATAAAGCAGTTTATTTATCCAACAGATAAATCATCACAAAGCTCCCTATAGAATGAAAACTGCAAAAGCTTAATCAGAAATACTTAAAACTGAAATTCAGTCCTCTAGGGGCCAAAACCGAGCCCACCAAATGGACAAAGACAGTACATAACTATCAGCATTTATTTGGAGGGGAATAAGAATAATAAAGCTGAATAATGAAGTTCCAAATCAACACTTCATTGAACATGTGATTCAAAAAATAACAGTAAAGTAAAAAAGTAATTTTCCAACATTCACTCATATGTTTCAGCTCCCCTATTCTATAACCATTCTCATTCGCAACATTCCAACAGAGCCCAAATCATCACTTCATTCTAAAACCATCATGTAAAGAACAGAACAGGATAAAAAGAACAATGAGCTCATGATTCCAACAGAGCCCAATTCTATATGTTTCAGCATTCAACAGAGCCCGATCCAAGGAAATGAAAATCTTTCCAAGCATTCTTGCATTCAATGTTTCTCCATTATTGAAAGCATCATTCCCAAAGGAGAAGGACCTTTCTTATCATTTCAACCGCAATAAAAATGGTAAGAAATTCCAAGCATGAAAATTTGAACAAAGAAGAAGAATCCTAACTATTTCACAGTAAATCAAACATTCTGCAGCAAAAAATTCCAATGTTTCAATTCTAACGATTATAGGAACAGAAATTACTGTGAGAGGATCGAATACGGCCTCCGGGAAGGAAGGAGACGGATATCGGGTAGGGCGAGAGTGTGAGGTCAAAAAAATACCTCATATCGCGGATCACAGCCTCGTAGCTTCAGGCGAGGTCGAGACAGAAATGGTGAGACAGGAAGGGCGAGGGCAAGGGGGAGAAACGGGAAGGACGGCACGGGAAAAATAACCTAAACGCGAGAAGCATACGCGGAACGGAGCTCCTGGCCAGATTACGCTCCCTTAAGGGAATCGCGATAAGAGAACGGAGCTTTTTCAAAACGTCCCATGCGAACGTGGTTTTCAAACGGAAGGGCGGCGTTTTCAAAACGCCGCCGCTTCCAATAAGCGCTCTCAAACGGACCCTAAATCATGGCATGCTCTTTCTCCACACTTCATTTCCTTTAAGAACTCCTCAAAAATTGTTTAACTAATTTGACAGTAAAAATTAGAAAAAAAAATTGATACTATTTACGATGTTAAAATCACTAAAGTCGATCGTATTTTCACAATCTTCATTAAGGAATTTGGCAAAATATCTCACCAACTTATGTTGAATATCCTAATTTAAGAAACATACTTTTGGATTTTCATTCTCAATACATTTAACTTGAACTAAATATTTACTTTTGTTATCTCTTTGCTCAATACATTTAAATCACCATCAACAAAAAACAATTTCAAGACATTTTATATTAAAATTCTAGATCATTCTAAAATTTTTCTTTCGAACACATATCCAAATTTACTTGAGGAGCATAAGCACTTACAACATTAAGAATCTTAGTATCAACCACAATCTTTAGAGTTATAATTTTATCTCCAATTTCATTAAATTTTATAACATTACATTTCAAACTCGTATATAAAATAACACTTATATTATGTCTAGTAGGACTCCTACCTGAATAACAAAGTTTAAAACATTAAGCTATCGATATCCTTAATCTTTTTTTCAACCTATTTATTTTCTTGAAAGCCTAAAATATTTACTCTTATGAATCAAAATATCTGCTAATTCTATTAATTTACCTGTAGGAATGGCTATATTCAAAATTCCTATTGTAGTAAAAATTTCATGAAATAACTTTGCTACTTGTGACTGACCATAAAGTTAGAAGTATTGCTTATTTAATACTACACGTGACAGCAATGTCTATGCACACTTTTTACTATATTCAGGCAATATTGCGCGGTGCTTCCAAGTAATGCTCTAGCATTTACTCAATGATTTAAAAAATTCATGTCATAGTTTTTCGAATATATAATGCAAGTTTCCACTTTTTGCATCTAGGACTTGAGAACCGGCTATAGCAAAATATTACAGTCAGCATTCAACACATGCTCAAAATAATAAATAAAATCTTTTTGATTAATGCATATTGACTAAATTCTCTAACTTAATAGGCTTAGAAATAGTTCTTTTACAACAGATAGTTCACTGAGTATATTTAATGTCATGTTTATTTCATTTTAAATCCATAACGAGTTATTAGGCAGTTAGATTTTGAGTAGAATTTAAGCAAAATTTAGCTCAAATATTGTCAACCTGTGAAAAATAACTTAAATCCTACAGAATGTCATGCCAAATTTCACCCTGCTTTTACCTTAAATCCTGGATTTACTATATCTTGGCATTCAAAAGATTTTACTCTTCTTCACGGTCTATCAAAACCCTGACCGGTGAGCTCTCACTTATTTGTCATCGAGGATGTTAAATACTAGGTGTGTGAAAGTTAAACATTGACAATTTATTAATTTAATTTATTAATTTTGAAAATTTCATGTATTATTAAAACTAAAGGTGTTAATTAAACAAGATACACTAATTTAATTTAGATTATAAGATTAAAAAGGTATTAACTTAAATAAATTTATAATTATTATAATTATAAATAGTTGAATAAGCGTAATAGATTTTAATTTTCTTTAAAATTATTAATTAATGATTAACTGGGAAGTTATCTAATGCTAATTATAATTAAATTTGCCTAATTATAACTGAAAATTATTAAATAAAATTACTAAATCCAAACATGCAAAATAAATATAGATACACTCATCAAAATGGAGGTCTAGAGAAAGAGTTCAAGAAAAACTTGAATTATGGAGGTCTACATTGGAGTCTAAACGCCTTGTTTGAGAAGAACTAAAACTGAATACATAAAGTTTTAACTATGAGTGATCAAATCATTAAAATGTGTGAATGTTTTAGATATCTCGGGTCTATTGTTCAAAGAGATTATTGTTATGTTTTAGATATCTCGGGTCTATTGTTCAAAGAGATGGTGATATAGATGGGAATGTTATTGGTAGAATTCAACTTGGTTTGTTGAAGTGGAGAAATGCTTCGAGCCTATTGTGTGATAGAAAAATAACGCTTGAACTAAAAGACAAAATTTTAAAAGACGGTGGGGAGAACTGCAATGCTCTATGGCGCATAATGTTGAAATTTAAAAGGGAAGCATAAAGCAAAGTTAAGTGCAGTTGAGATGAAAATGCTTAGGTGGATGAGTGGCTTGACACTTAGAGAAAAAATACGAAATAAATATATCTGTGATAGGGTTGGTATAGCTCTAGAGGCAAACAAGTTTAGAGAGTCATTTTAGATGGTTTTGTCACATTAAAAGTCGACCATCTGCTGATCCGATTAGGAGAGTAGATGTTTTAGCTTCAACTGATGTTAAGAAAGGCAAATGTAGACCTAAAAAGACTTAGGCATATTGTACAAAAAATGATCTTAATCTATTAGAATTAAATGAAAATATAACACTCAATAGAACGCAATGGAGAAAAAAAGATTCATGTAGCTGATCTCACTTAGTAGGATAAAGACTTGTTCTTGTTGTTGTTGTTATTGTACACACATCAAAATATCATGAACAATAAAAGTTAGTTAATTAAAAAAATATTAACTTGAGCAAATTGGTATTATATTTTATTCTATTTAACTAAATAGAAGTTATCATGTTTAATTAGCATGATAAATTATTAAGGAAAGAATAATTGGGATCTCAGCTTAAGTTAATTATGATTTATTAGTCTAATTATGATTGATATAGGAAAAAAATATATAACAATATCTCACAATCATAAAAAAAATTAAATTCAAAATTAAAATATAACTAGATTTAATACTGATCATGTAATAATTTAGGATTCAACCAGCACAAGATTTATTAACTCCAATTTATAGCATTTACTGAATCCTATTCGACTAAAAGCGTAATTGCAGCCAAACAACCCTTTATTAGTCAACCCTTAGTTTAACAGTCTATACAAAAAAGTTCCGACTCTTGTACATTATAAAATGATGATGTGATTTAAAGCTAATTTTGCTCCTAAAGCACCTCCAAGTATCCTTTCTGTCTCCGACATTTGTCTTAACTATCTTTGGTCCCTTACTCCTGAACCAATGTCTATCCTCTCTTTCAAGGCACCACCAAGATCAAACTTTCCAGCATCCACATCAGCAGTCGAGAAGTAAACTTTTCATGTGCATCAATTAGAAAGAATTAAAACAATATTTTCCACACCACAACTATTGAACTTTTGCCCAAACAAAGCTATCAAAATTAAAATTATTTAAATAGATGAGTGAAGATGTTAACGGAAATCAAGTCACCATAATAACAGCAACTACAAAAAGCACTATCAATTACAGAAATGCTAAATGAAGTTCAAAATACAAGAAACTTGACATACCTGAACTCCTTTCATTGAGAAATAACAGGTGATGAAGTACACAGCAGACCTGCAGTATTTATTAGTGCATTATGCATATGCATTTCTAAAATAACTCTAGAACAATACCACAAGGTTTAACTGATAGAAGTCATTTTATATAGTTACTGCTTAAACAAGAGAAATTGACGAGCTAATCAAAATCATTAGAATGCATGAGCAGCTCTTACAAGGAATTTCAGGAACAAAGAAGACATTATCTTAAAAAAAAGATTTAAATTTGTAAAGCCAGACTGGTATAGTAGTTCTGCAATAAAGATGATGAAATATGAATAATAACAAACAAACAAATTTGAAGAGTCATGGGATTGAAATACGATAGACTTTGTCAGTGGCATTTTAGTATATTTCTTTAGCTATTTAATCTCACTTACCATAAACCAGAGTTTTTCATGTTATTTAATTATGTTATTTATTATGTTTTGTGCCGCGTCAAGACCATCTGTCCATATTTATCATTTTTTCAAATGCCAAAGTTAAGTTTGTTCTTGTTATCATCTCAATGTTACAAGGAGTAGTTCGAGATTATTTCAACTGGTATATATAAAAATGCCAACTATTGTAAATAAAGATGGTTAACTTTGGCATTAAGAAATGACAATGGCTCTTTCTTTTAACATAGGGTATCTTCCAATCTTCTTAACTGCCCTACAATTTATCTTCCCAGTTTTTTCTCTCCTTAACAAATCGAGGTGTCAAAGTTCGTCATTAACCTTAATTTTGTTGTCACGCATCGTATGAATTGAAATGAAAGTTATTCCAACAACTTGTTTATTGCTCCAACCCCTTCGATTCTCTACTACTTGGTCCCAAAAACTTCACAGTAAATCTCTTGTGTTTTAGGGACACAATAATTGTTGGGCATGTGAAGTTGTTAGAAGCACACATTGATGCACACTTCAAAAGCCAAGTGATGTGACACACTTGAAAGGCTCACGCAGGACTCAAGCAGGACTGGCTGAACGCAGGTCCAGCCCAACTGCACCGATCGATCCTCTTGGAGGGGGACCCTCTCCTTCCTCCTCTTTCCTTTCTTTTTTTCTCTCTTCCTTTTCTTTCCTTTCTTCCACTTTCTATTTTCCTTCCTAGGCCCTTCCTGATTTAAATCCTTTCCTAAAAGCCTAAATCTCAATTTTACTCTCCTTTCTTAATTTAAACATTTCCTATAAATCTGAGATCTTGATTTTAATTTTATTCTCCTTCCTTAATTTAAACGTTCCCTAAAATTGGGTCAAGTCTCCTATAAAATAGAAGTTGATGTGTCAAGAGTTAAGGGTCTTGATTTTGAAATCTGAATTCAGTTTTTTCTAAGTGTTTTCCACTTTAGGGTTGTATCCGACTACGATGAAGGTGCTCTGGTTGTAACCCCGTTTGGGGTGGTGTTCATCTTCGTTGTTCCAACTACTACACCTCTTCCATCAATCCACAGACGGCAGCTTCTCTGCCTCCCACTTACTCTTTCAGAGTGCCGCCCTCCTCCTGCAACCTCCCTGTAAGATACCGCAACCCTGCTACTCTCCCAGACCGCCAAAAGCTCCCCTACAGCTCCCCTATAGGCCGTCGCAGCCCCTGCAGCCATCTTCACAGCAGGTTGTTGCCTTCTCTCCAACGTCTAGTCTGTTGCCGCCTCCCTCCCAACACGCCACTCCCTGCGCCTCCAGCCACTGCAGATTCTCCTCCTACAACCCACTGCCTCCGCTTCTCGGCTTCCGCCGCCACTCTTGCCTCTGCACCGTTTCTCAGCTTCGGCATCCCCACTTGTACAAAAAAAGGAAGGAGCTTGACAGCTTCGGCATCCACACTTGTACAAAAAAAGGAAGGAGCTTGACAGTTTTTTCATTATTTTATTTTCTACATTGTATTAGAGCAAGATTAGGGTGTTCCTTCAAGTCATTGTTCTTTTTCTCTAAGGTTAGGATTTCCATTTTTTTTGTTATTATTCTCTAATGTTAGGATTTTCACTTACAACATTTGTACTTATTTTCTAATGTTAGGGTTTCCAATTCCAATATATATATATATATGTATATATTTTTTATTGTTGTTTTGTAGGTTATAGAAAAAAGAAGATCAAACGAGACTTAAAAAGGTCAAAATGATGAAAAGTGTGGTCTAGCGCTTAGGCACCCAAACAATAAACTATGGTCCAATTTCCCGAGAAAACAATAAGTAGGTGCTACCTTTGCTGCACCTAGGCGCTACACATCGGCGCCTAGGTCGCAATTGTGGTGCTATGGCTCTAGTACTTCAATCAAATTATCAAGAGAAAGGGACGGTGAGAGCGAGAGAGAGCAAGTGAGGGGTGTGAAAGAAAAGGAAAGGAGAAAGTCAGGGAGGGAAGTTGTGTGTGCATGTGTGTGAGAGAGAGAGAGAGTGAGAGAGAGTACAAGGAAGGTAAAATGTTAAAGAGAGTGAATGAGAGAGAGATTAAGAGTACACACACGTGTGTGTGTGTGTGTGTGTGTGTGTGCCCATCAGGAAATAAAGAAAATGAAAAGCAAGCATGTGACTACTAGACATGTAAACTGCATCAACTATAAAATAAAATAATCAAGAAGCAATGAAAGACAGACATACGGTGAGGACATATATTTAAATAATCGAAGGTCCCACATATCATGAGGAACAAGAGCATCGCTAACTTGCTCCTGAAAAATAAAATAAAATATAACTGCAGATTAATATATAAGAAAAATTAAAACATAAATGAATACGTAAGCTGACATAAATACAATAAAAAAAAATTACAAAACAAGAATAAAGTAATATAAAATAGCTACTGAAAGAAAGGAAAACAAAAGGATACGTACTTGCAAAATCATATTACCAAGTAGAGTCAAAGCAGCATCAACCTAAGCAACAAAAAAAATTAGCCATTAGAAATGGAAAGATAGCTATTAGTAAATGCAAAACTCGTGCTCAAGAACAAATGTGGTTTAGAAAAAATTTAAGCAGTACATCAATTTAAAGTAAAAAAAAAAACTAAAAAAAAGAAAAAATAAATAAAGCTGAGAGGAACAAATCTAGTAATACAACAACAACAAAGCTTTAATCCCACTACATGGGATCGGCTACATAATCCTTTTTCTCCATTGCATCTTATTTTGCATCATATTTTAATTTAGTTCTAATAGATTAAGATCATGTTTTATACAATACGCCCAACTCTTCCTAGGTTTACCTCTGCCTTTCTTAGCATAAGTCGAATCTAAAACATCTACTCTCCTTATCGGAGCATCAGATAGTCGTGTCGGCCAAATAATTTTGTGGTGTCTTTATTTATGATTTAATTTAATTTAATTTATATATAAGAGATTATAAATTTATAAAATAGTAATTTAACTTTGGAAAATAATATTTCAAGTTAATTTATATATGACTATAATTTTGGAAAATAATAATATTTTAAGAAAAGTGAGACCGAATAAATCTCACATATTTGATAGTCTAGATGGTTGAGCACGATACCACAAATAGTACACTATCCTGAAGGATAAATATATCATTTGTTAGCAGGTTTAACCACCTAAACTAAAAAGTTTGTAACATCCGTTTGGTCTGCGAAACCCTTTTTTTTTTATAAGTCAATAAATTCTCCTATTTAATATCGAAGATTAAATAGGGTTTATATTAAGTTGGGTTCTTAAGTTCCCTATAGAGGCAATCCCCTATAGTTAATTACATCTTAGGCAATCAAAATCACCTAAGAAAACTTTTAATTAAGATTAGTGGTTCTGTCTTCAAGATTTTCAAAGTTTAGTTTTCTGAGGTATGACACAAAAAAACCAAATGGGAATGGCTAAAAAAATGAACAGTATTTTTCAGGAGTCAAACGAATAAAAGGAATGGGATGTCACAGATTCGAGGAACACCTCGGTGACTTCTCAACTATCCTATTGTTTGGTTTGATTACTTTGAAATGATATTATTTAGTATTTTAATCCTGCAATTTATTTCTATAATTTATGACTTATATTAGCACAATATTCGATCGTGCAAATAGCCTAGAAAAATAGGAGAATTTACGTCGTACTGAACGACGACCTCGAAATCCTAAAAGGAGTTAGGACATATAATGCACAATAGAATTGTGCAAAAGCCTAAAGATAAGAGAGGATTTATGTCGCACTAGGCAGACTACCACGAAGTCCTATGGATTTATTGTTTATTCTATGAAGATTCCAACTGAAGATAGTCCTTTGCTTCGCTGTTGTGGTCTCGATCATCGCCCTCTGTCTGCTCGCTTCCTCATTCCGCTTCCTGGAAAAAATACACCAAGCTCCTTAACATATCGATCATAGGTTCAGATTTTGGTGTGTATAAATATACAGTTGTTTGGGTGCCTCCTAAACCAGGTGTTCTACTGTCCTCTATCTTAAAGGCCCCTGCAAGTCTATACAAGTAACATCAATAATAAAAGGGAAACATGCTATGAAGCGCAGTAAACAATAAACAATAACATCGCAAGCATGAGCTATATGTACAAGCAGTAAAATGCAGTAAAAAAAACGGTAAGTAAAGAAAGGCAGTAAGGTGTGCAGTTAAGAAAGTAAAACGTTGTAAATATAAAACAAATATATATATCTGACGGGTCTGTTGTTCCTGCAAATGAGATCAGTGTCGCAAGTACAAGTAAACGAGTATAATAAAAGAATTTAACAAATGGGTAAGCATGCATTTATATAAATAAGAGTGAATAGCAAAACGTACTACGACAACTCAAAGAAAGCCTAAATGAGCGATGGTTACTTGAAGAAAACTTTTTGGGAACGCGAGGAAAATCTGAAGAAAATCACGAGTGATCTACAAAGACTCCAATAAAAAGTAGGAAACGTACAAAAAATCCGAGAAAAAAGGAAAACCATAAGCATTCGAGTCAGGGTAAGCTCAGATTTAATTATTCTCGAGAAACTTCGAAGGCAACCATCGGTCATCAATATGTATAAAGCCCGGCATTCAGTTAGAAAATTCTAACAATACAATCTTATGAGGGCAATTCTTAGCCCAGTACAAATAATTGACAAGTGAACAATTGAATTATATTACTTAAAGTCCATATTTTAGCATGCATATAAGAAAATTAATATCATCTTAGTACTCAAATATTTTTCTGAAAATAAATAATGTATTTGTTCTTATCATTGTATTTTATAAAGTTAATTGTCACGAGTCTATCACACTGTCGGGCTATGACCGCCAGCAATCTAAGAAGACAAGAGTCCTCGCTAGTTTAGTGTCGGTGAATAACATTTTCATCCTACATTTTCATCGAGTCCCTGAGTCGGTTCCCGATGTTGTAGGATGTGAAATTATTTCGCTCTATCACTGAATGTCTTTGTCATCACAACCTTGACCCAAAAAAAGACCGTTCAACTTACAACTTTATTTGATGGTTCATATATAGCCAGAATTATATATGAGCGCTTACGTTTCAGACATAAGCACCTAAAACCAAACCAAGAAGCAAGGAAAGAGAACCGAAAATAAATAAATAAAAAGAAAGTCTAATTAATCTATAAAACTAGTATAACCTCAAATATTCACTAAATAAAACACCTTAAATAAATAGCAAAATGAGTACGCTCATCAATAGCTAGTTTTTTTCCAAATCACCGGTGTAACAATCCAAAAAAGATGTATCTAAAGGCCCCATTTGCTAGCCCACAACATCTCCGGAAGATACATTTTAGGGGATTCCAAGTTGCTCCCAATTCAATCCAAACCTGCTCAAAAGCCGCACTTCATCAAAAGCCCAAATTGCAACTAAACTCTCCCAACAAATATCAAAAGGGCCTTGCATTGCAGTCCAACAAATAAACTCTCCCAACAAATATCAAAAGGGCCTTGCATTGCAGTTAATTCGGCCCAAAGAACAGGGCATTGAAAACTTCTTCCAAACATTAAGCAAACCGACTCTCAAAGAAGGCACTCGAATTCCCCAAAACCACGAAGATTAAAGCATTTAAACCCACCCTAAGGTCAGCAAATTAGGGGTAAAGGCAGCTAAGAGGACCACAAAACTCAACACAAAAGAACCCAAATAGTTTATCTCGGGTAGGGGCAGCAAAAGCACCACCAAAACCAACACAAAAGAATCCACCCTGCAAATTTCAGGTAGGGGCAGCAAGCATCACCACAACCGACACAAAAGAACCCACACTGCAGATTTCAAGTAGGGCAGCAAGGGCACCACCCCAAAACCAACACAAAAGAACCCAACCTGCAGATGTCGGGTAAGGGCAGCAAGGGCACCACACCAAAACCAACACAAAAGAACCCAACCTACAGATGTCGGGTAAGGGCAGCAAGGGCACCACCAAAACCAACACAATAGAGCCCAACTAGCAGGTTACGGATAAGGGGCAGCAGGTAAACTACCCACACCAACACAGGGAGCACCAACCAGCAGATTTCAGGTGAAGCAGCGAGGAAAACAACCCAAAACAACGCGAGGGAGCACCAGCAAAGGTCTCGAATAGAGCTAGCAAGGAAAATAACCCAAAACATACACAGGGAAGCACCAGCAAGGGTCTCGAACAGAGTTAGAAACAGAGGCGAAACAAAACAAAATTCCAAAAGCTCCAAAGCAAAAAAAACGTAACCACCTGCATGTCTCAAATAGGGGGGCGACAACTAATCCCCAAAGCAGCAAGTGGTCAATTTCAAAATCATGCCAAAACCTTTTCGTAAAACTGAAATTGGGGAATCTACAAAACCAAACCAAGCAAGCTCCATAAAACTGAAGCCGCCAGCTCCATAAAACTGAACTGAATTAGCTCATAAAACCAAGACCACAAGGCTCCACGAAATCAAACCAAACCAACTCAAAATCTCACAACCCAAAAGGTCCAAAACACCAACTCCCAGTATATAAGATCAAAACAGCATTCGAACCTCACATAAACTAAAGAAGGTGGATGGCATAAACGTACAAGTGTAATAAGAACAAAAGAAAGAGATCTTCGCATGCATAACACTTGAAACATTGTCATTTATAAGTCTAACACCCTTAGCTAAGCAAAAAGAATGAAGTAATTAAATCAGACTCAACAGAATTGCTAAAGGCCTAACCATCCATGGCAATTGATAGTAATTTCAAAAGGAGATTCCAGGTAAGGCAATCAAGTTTAAATATATTTTTTAAGTAAAATCTCGCTCAAATCCTTTTATTTCCCCGAGATTTTTCAGCCTCTGTCGAGCAAAAAGAAGACAAGAAAAGAGAGAAATTACCTTGCTCGAGCCTTTTGAAAGAAACAAAAGGGAAGCCACAGAACTCTCAGACACCAAGCCCTCAAGCACTAAGTCTTAGCCGAGCAGAAATTTCAACAGAACCTCCCCCGAACTCAAAATTTGCTTAACCCCCTACATGACCTGCCCACTTAGGTTTTATACCAAAAAGAAGAAGAACCGGAGGGAGAGGAAGAGGGAGCGTAGCCGTATCATCGATGGATGATGGGGCATCGCAGAGCCTAGCTAATTAAAGGAAACAAGTGCAGAAGGCTCGGATAACCGGTAACATACCACAAAGGAAGGCTACGAAGTGAATCAATATACAGTCGTGTGGGTCAAAAAGGGGACAAATGCTTCGGGCGCAGAGGTAGGAGAAGCTTCGGGCAGAGCGAACAGGGAGTCACATCGACATGGTGTGGAGGGAACGCTAGGGCAGGCGATTAAACCGCGAGGCTCAAGTTGTGGCGTGCGTGTGTTTAGGCTAAGTAGCGTTAGTGTTTTATATTATTATTATTATTATTATTATTATTATTATTTAGATGCGTCGGTGTTCGTGTCACTTGTGTGTGTCGAGGATCGTAGTGAAGTGCACGTCCCTCCTAGCTAAAATCAACACTCTGGACGTGCTGGAGAGTCAATTTTGTCGTCCGGCAGACAACCTCAGCGACGACCAGGTCGAAAATGCGCCAAATTCAAATTTCCTTAAAATTTTGTTCTGATTGATTGTTCCAGCAATTGATTCAAGTTTGGTCAATCGTGAAGCCTTCTACAGGTTCAAATGACGTGAAAATAGCTAAAATGCATTTTTTTTCCAATTGTTGGAAGAAGAACAGATTGAGTGTAACAGTTACTTTTTACATCATATTTGAACTTCGAGAAAAGAAAAACAGAAAAGTTGACCAAAAAAATGCTAGCAACTTGATTAGTCCTTCAGCAAGAATGTCAAAATAGCTAATGAAGAACTTACAACAGGGGTAACATTGCTGAAAGCTGGCAATCCAAGCATCAAATCAGTCCATATAGCACTCCAATTAGTTTTAGCTAAGATGGACACCTGTAGAAAAAGGTATGAGACTAACAATTTAAAGCAAAGATTTAAGTAACTTGGAAGTGCTTGTAAATCAATAAAATTAAACTCAAAGAAACTAAGTTTAAAAGCATCATAGAGACGAGCAAATTAACATACACATGATAATGAAAGGAAGTTGGTCAATTGGTTGCCAGCACACAAAAATCCATGAGCATGTGTCAGAAAGAGGACATATTCAAAATTTATCTAGCCCTGGTGATACATCAACTCCTAGCAAATAAGAATAGCCTTCTCCCCCCAACAGGAACTCGCGTTCTTACAGTCTCTCTATCTTAACTGGAAAAATGAAAATCATTTGATCTTCTGGCACTAAAACATTTTAAAATGGCTTTCATAGAAGGGTACGGGCTAAACATAATACCCTTACGTTAATATTTATGCAGCAGCAGACCTTAAAAATGTATGCTTTTAAAGTAGGAAAATCATCCAGTGTTGGAATGAATTTTATTTTTGAGTGAATTAAGTAAAAACAAATTAATATATAGCAGGGAATGGAAAAATTTTAAAAACAAAATGATGAATGTTAAAATAAAATTTAATCAAAATTCTTATGTAACCTGAACCAATCATTTCTTTAACAGTTCCGAATCCACTTGGTGCTTGCATAATGCATGGGAAAAACTGAACATAAGTTCATCTTCAAAATTGAATCTAAGTCGCAAATTTTGCACCTTCTCCAAACTTGGATTATAATAAGTCAAATTAGTATTTCTCTCCGTAGCATTAGGTTGTGTTCTGACAATTTTGATGGAGGGAAAAAGGCATTAAGGGGCGGACATCCCAGTTAGGACAAGAAGGCATGAAAAACAAATCTACTTCAAAAAACAAGCTAAAGAGCTTTATTTCCTTGGGTCCAAGGTGTACAGTGTTAAAAACTGAACCAAACTAGACTCCCCTTATGCCAATTCAAACTAGTTGATCCCGACCCCAGTCATGCACCGTCTCCACCTTTCCGATCTGAGCAAATGGCACAATCTAATTTCCCACACTCCAGACCACCTTTTCTTGAGATTATAAGCATCATGAAAAAAGGCACTGCATGGTTCCCTCTCACCCACAGCCACCGAACCTCCTCAGCTAGCAACCCTTCCCCTTCCCTCTCAAAAAACCCTAGCCACTAGCTGCTCTCCCTCCTTTGCACTCTATCCTCCCACTTTGAACATGAGCAGAAACTAGAAGATCAATTGTTAACAATGTGGAATACTGAAAAAACAAAAATATGATTTTCAATTTGCATTAACTAGATGATCACTTGTTAACATTTTGAAATATCACAAGAAAAATCCTCAAATAAAAGGGTTAACTAGGAGTCCTTAAGGCAAAAAGACCCTGGTAATCCATATTTGTAGTGTATGTTTCTAGAAACCAACACTTTGGTGGTGCATGGCAAATATCTAGAATTGACAACCGTCGCAGTTGCACTCACCATATTCTAAATGTCGATCATCGTAATTGCACATCAAAATTTATATGTCAGCATATCACAAATTTGGTCAATAGCATTTAGATTTAAAACCAAAATAGATCATAGAACCGAAGAAGGCGAAATTTAATATTTGAATATGAAACATAAAAGCGAGAGATGTCAAGTGAAAAGCTATTAAATCTATTTTTGACAATTTGGAGAAGGGGTGTAAACAACATTTATATTGTTAGTGTTTGGCCCGTGTTCAAAATGGCTCATGAATAGCCTGTTTGTGATCGACTCGATTCAAACTCATTTGTTCAAATTAAGCTTATGTTCAGCTCGAATTAAATTTTCAAATATTAATTTTCTATTTTAAAACATTTTCAAAAAGACAAAAAAAATTAAGCTTGTGTTCGTTTCATGGTTTTTCTTGCCGTTTTCAGAAGAGACAACCATCGAACGAGGTTTACCCCCACACACCGCCAAACTCCTATATTTGATTCCTCCGCTATTCCACAATCACTTTCCTGCTAAATAAGCTTTCCAAACACCTTATAGGAGCCCTAGATCGGTGTCATGCATCTATCAATCTATGCCATATGCCATTCACTCCAATATGGAAAATCTCAGAAAGTGGTCGATTTTTATTAAATCATTTTACACTTTCATCTCCTTTAGTGTGGTGATATATTAATAATAGCAAGATCTGATATTTGTTTGTCTAGTATCTTAGAAGAGATTAACTAGCAAATTTGTTCTTTATAGTATGCGTCTTCTCAATTCCATCACTTACTCCATTTGAAATGTCTATCAAAAAGATGATTTCCATATCTCCTTTGATCGTTGGGCAATTTTAAGAAGATTTGGAGAAGTTTTTTAAGTTGTTTCGTATCATAAGGTTGTGGAAAGCATAATTTTTTTTAATTTATTCTTAACCTAACGCTTGTGATAAAGCAATTTTAAGGATCTTTGTGACATTTTCTTCTTCGTATCAAAATCTGCAACGAAACAAATGCAAGATATTTCACAAATTTTGCTAAATGAGAAGGCGCTTCGGTTCATCATCTTCTCATTTTTAATTCAAATGACAAAAAGGCTTATTATCAGCAGAGAACAAATTTCAGATCTTAAACTCCCTAAGATTCCTGCACAGCTATTTAAGAGAATTGTGTAGACGTATATTTAGAAGATGATTTCCATATCTACTTTGACCATTGGCAATTATAAGAAGATTTGGAGAAGGTTTTAAAAAGTTTTTTGGTATCATAATGCGGTGAAAAATATAAATTCTTTATTTTCTTTGTCACCAAAAGCTTGTGATAAAATAAATTTATGAAATTTTCATTTTCGTATCAATTCTACAATAAAAAACAAATGCAAGGTATTTCACAAAATATGCTAAATGGGAAAGTGCTTCGGTTCATCATTGACAAGAAGGCTGCTATCATCAGCAAACAAATTTCAGATCATAAACTCCCAAAGTTTCCTGCACAACTATTTAAGAGTATTGTGTAAATTATAGAACAATTTAGCTCTCCTGAGTTCTTGAGTTCCTTATCGTTTCTAAATCTTTTTTTTTAATTTGTACATCTCTTAATTTTAATGAGATTGGTTTTATCCTAATTTTTCAATAAAAAGAATAATCACGGCAGAAACAAGTTGTCAATTAATTGCTCAATTTCACAATCATCCTTCTTATTAGAATGGAACCTCAAAAATCACAAATGGTTGTTATACTAATCACATACCAAATGAATACATCTAGGAAAATAAAAATCAAGCAAAAAAAAAAATCAAAATTAAAATTGAACTTGCCTTCACCAAACTCATATGCATAGGTCGTGACTGCTCATCAAAGTAGGGAACTAGAATATCAGAAAGCCCTTGCAATGCCCTTCAAGAAAACACACAAGGAACTCACCAAATAATAGATTCAAACACACAAAAAGCTAGACAAAAACACTTTTGCATTAGTACAATAAAATGAATGTTTAATGTGCGTTGGATGGGCACTTCACAAATTCCGAGAAACTGGTTATCCATTCAATTCTCATTGCACTGGAGGGAGAGAAAAGATTTAATAGGACAAAGAAATGTACCTCAAAAGCCATAAGAGAGCTTCATATGAATGCACTATGTGTGGGTTATTTAATAGCCTGCATGTTTAATATAACAAGGAAGAATTTTTAAGAAGCTCTGTCAATCAATACCAAATGTGCTTATTTCATCATGTAGCTGGAAGTAAACCAATAGAAATTCAATGTAAGAGAGCATTCAATAAAGGTTCATTTGATTTTTGGAAATTAAAATTATATCTTACAGAACTGAATAATTTAACAAATCACATTGGTTGAATGTAACTGTAAATCAAAGAGCAATTTAAACTAGATTAAAATTTACAAGATAAAAGAATTCTTTTTCATCAGCAAAACTCACCAAATCCGGATTCTAATACACGCTCTATTGAGTCCCAGAGCATGGCCTGACCTATGTGATCTGGATATTTTGACAATGGGTGATCAAGGCTGTCTTGTTCTCCTTTCATTTCATCTCATCACCCCCCACCCCCCCTCCATCAGGAGTCTTTTGCCTCATCTTCTAGGATTTTAATTTCAGATATCCACTGAGTGAAAACTATTGCATTAATTCTCCCTAGAGGATCGGATTAACACTTCACTAATTATATTACGAATCCGAATTAAAATTTCACCAACTCAAATGTTGCCGAAATACTCCTTTCAAAACCTACATTAAGCTCTTTTTTAAGATGCTCTGCTCTTTTTCGTTGTATGATTCTCACATTTTAGAACAAGGACATTAAAATGATATAAAGTTGGTTGCATTTGGAACGATCAAAACTAACTTGTTGACTTAATGTGATTAAATTTGACCAAAATTGTTCATGTTAAAGATATTTACAGCATTTAAGTTTTCCTGCAAGAAATACTTTATAAAATTAGTCTTAATATTTGACTAATAATTGCATATTTCTAATCTTACACTATGGGTTTCATTGACATTGTTTTGGAGAACTCCAAATGCAACTTAAAAATCTAACATTTGAGATAGGTTAAGTAAATGCTTGTAGCAATTGATTTTATAACTTCAAGCCTCAATTTGGGCAAGTTTGGAAACTATTGTTATGGTAAAAAAGTAAGTTGAAGTTATAAGAGCAACAAGTAAGCATTTTGTAAATAATTTTAGGCATATGCTGTATTTATTCCGTATTGCTTGAACCATCATTTGAAGCTTATCAAAAGGCCTCGCCATATAATTGCAGAAGTAACCATTGTATTGTCATTATTTACTACACTACAAATATTTAGTTAAAATTAGTGACTAGCTCGATGAACACAGCCTGATATTAAGAAATCCGTAGAGAAGCGGTTAGCAAAAAAAAAATTAACCTTCATCATACTGCAGTTTATTATTAGCATTAAGAATCTATAAAATTGAAGAAAAGATTCAAGCTCAACTATCTACCATTTTGTGTGGACAGAAGGATTAGAAAAATGCCCTTAAAGTTCATCTCCTTAGAGATAATCATTGTCGTCATACACATTATGCAACTTCTAATTACGTAGGAATGATGAAGCACTCGCTGCCATAGTTATTGATAGGAGAATGGTTCATGCATGATGTTTTCCATGACTCAGCTTGTCTTGATATAGTCCGCATGCAAAACCCGTCATCTTTTATTTTGTACAAAGATTTAATCTCATAGATTATTGAAAGATGCATTACATATCTATGCCAAGGAACAAGTAGTGATGAAATTGTATGGTAGGCCACATAAACTACAATGAATGCAATAACTTTAGCTTCAATTTGTGTAGGACTGCTGGATGGAAAGGGTTAGATAATGATATTAGTGAATCAAATAATTCTTTAAGAAAACCTATGGCTTTAAGGTTCCAAAAGGTATGAAATGTATACCATTTTCATGCTTATAGAACCATTTCAGTAAGACTTACAATTTCATCTAATTTTCAGGGAAATAATACCTCATAGATAACGGCAATAAAGTGCATACTAATATGGTTACGAAGGATAGTAAAATTAACAATCAATCAAATCGCACCTCACTAAGAACTTCAAGATATAAAAGTAGTTCGTCAATGATAATGAATAGCTAATTAATAAGCATCCATAAGAAATCTTTATCAAGTTGTTAACAGAAACTTATCCTCACAATTAAGAGAATTAAAATGCACGTTGTTATTAAAGTGATGGTAATATGCTCCAATAAATTAACTTTTTAAAAGGTAGAGAGAGACATACCGCTTCAAACTTTCAGAAGCACCTTCCAACCAATGTACTAGTAGACACTTATCAAGGCGGTGACCATAAGTATTAGTAAGAAAACAAAGAGCGCCATTCCTGTAGAATGAGAAAAATATTGATATGTTTACAACGGAGTAATTAATACTTGGTTTATTCAAATATGAATACAAATAACTAAGTGCAAATAAGCTTGAATAAAAATAAGGTAAATGCTATGATAATTGATTTAATAATTACAGCTATCTTGAAATAATCGTATACATATAGTTATGTTGGTTCCTGATAAATTGAGTGATTAAATAGTACAATAGACAAGTATTTAAATTGAGAGATGGTTCACTTCATTCGTGAACTTGCTATGGTGTCTCGTCCCCATTAGTTGCATAGCATAGCTGAACAAGTGGCTTGAATAGAGACGCATGATAAAAATTAGAATTAGCAGGAGGGTAAATTAAAACAAGATGGAGAAGCAAATAAGAGCATACGGCTAGGGAAATTGAAAGGGAGAGTAAGGGATTGAGGCTTGTGAGAAAAGATAACTCGAGATAGGGATGGCAGCAAATAATCCATAAGGGAGAGGGTGTGGTAGACAAGAGGATCAAAGAGAGATGATCATTGATTGAAAATTTTGCAAAGATTAAGGATTTGCTTGATTTGGTTCATAGAAACTACCTTAGATAAACAAGAAGGTTGGAGATTATATGAACCCATGTTTGATAATACCTTTATCGTGAATCTATAATTAGCAACCACTGACTAAAGTTGATCCTATTTGAGTTTTAATGGTGTTGAGGTAAAAGAATTTTATACAAAATTGGGGCGCTTGGATATAGGTAAGTACAAATAATAGAACTAAGAAAATTAATATCAAACATATTCTCAATCAAGATATTAAATTACAAAATAATGGGGATATCCTCAACATTGAGTTTCAATCTGGTATGACAACACACTCCCTAAAATCAGAGCATATACATGAAGATCCAGCTTATTGTAAACACTGGAGAATCATAATTCAAGAGCCTTTGCAAGGATATCTGCTAAACATTATTCACTAGAAACATAAGAAGTAATGACCTTTAAGAAAATGATGACTGATGCAATGAAAATCTACTTTAATATTTTTTTAAAGCATAATTTTATAACAAGTAAATGAAACGAGGACAACATGAGGCAATTATGAAGAATTGTCTGATAAAAAGTAAAAAAGCACAAAGCAAAATAATAGAAAACCTAATGGTATAAGAAGAACAATCATTAAGAGAAAAACTATATGATCTCTCATTTATAACACCTCGCGTAATCCTAAAGAACCTTTACGAGCAATAATATTTTTTCTCTTATTCCTGCCTCGCATAGCAAACAAGATTTGAATTCATATATCCATTAGTGTTGTTGAATTTATGACTAGACAGCATCATATTATTGATAAAAGGAGGGATACTTATACCCAATTAAAATAGATATAACAAAGTCAAGAAATAAAACAAAATAAAACAAATGAGAAAGAAATAAAATAGAATAAAATAAAGAGGAAATAAATAATGAGGGAATAAAAGCTAATAATAAGTGATAATCGTTAGGGATTGTCGTTATAAATCTAATACTCTCCATCAAATTGAAGCATAGATGTCAATCATGTTCAACCTAGATTTGAAGTCATCGAACAAAGGACAACGTAGATTTTGGGTGATATCTACTAGTTGACCATTAGAGGGCACAAAAGGGACAAACTTTCCTAGACTCAATCTTTTCATTAATAAAGTGTCTGTCAATCTCCACATATTTGGTACGATCATGCTAGACTAGATTATGAGCAATGTTGATGGCGGTCTTATAATCATACAATAGCTATAATGGGATGGAGGTTGGCAAGGCCATGGACCGAAATTCATCTTCAGCACTGCTCCGAGCAACTACATATTGTTTCTTGCTTTAGCACGTGACAAGATTTCTCAATACAAATGAGCAATACCTCGAGGCGGACCGTCGATCATGAACCGACCCGGCCCAATCATCATTTATATAAACAGCAATAGACCGAGAGGTGTGAAGAGAGAGAAACGAACATGAGTCCGGTGTACCTTTTACATGGTGGAGCATTCGGTGGACAGCTTGGAGGTGGTGCTCATAGGGGTTATGCATGAATTGAGTCACTATATCAATTGTTTGGCATATGTCATGGCAAGTATGGCGAGATAGATGAGTTTTCCGACAAGGCGTTGGTAATGAGTCTTGTTGACAGTCACAACATTGGGAATGTCAGATAACTTTTCATTGGGATCCATAGAGACAGCCACTAGTTTTCACATAAGAAAGTTGTTCTCTGTCAAGAGATTGATCACATATTTGTGCTGAGACAAGAAAATGCTCTAAGATGACCAAGCCACTTCCATGCCTAATAAATACCAAAGAGATCTCAAGTCCTTCATTTCAAAGCACATACCAAGAATGTCATTCAAGGACTCCAATGTTGGGAGATCGTTACTTGTAAGAACAATATCATCAACATAGATAATAAGGATAGCTACATGGTCATTGGAGGAATGTCGGAAGAAGAGAGTGTGATACGATTGAGTCTGAATAAAACCATGACCCACGACAACCTTTGTGAACATGACGAACCAGACCCTTGGAAACTAATTTAGCCCGTAGAGAAACTTTTGTAGTCTACAAACGTGTCCTTTGGACGCAGCAGATTCAAAGCCAAGAGGGAGAGAAATGTACACCTCTTCTGTAAGCTCTCCATTCAAGAACGCATTCTTAACATCTAACTAGAATAAAGGTCAATCCAGATTCACCGCAAAAGACATTAAAACAGGAATAGTGTTTAACTTGGCCACTAAGAAAAGTATCTCCTCATAGTCAACTACGTAGATCTGTAAGTACCCTTTAGTGACCAATCGTGCTTTTTTGCATTCAAAGAATCCATTTGAGTTAAACTTAGAGCTGAAAAGTCATCACCACCCCACAGCTTTCATACCCAGGGGAAGATCAACCAGTTCCCACATATGGTTACGCTGAAGGGCACTTATCACCTCCATTACTGTCATTTTCCAAGTTGGATCAGCAAGAGAAACTTCAATAGTAGTAGAGATCTGATGATCAGTCAGGGCAGTAGCAAATGCTCTATAGGTCGACGAAAGATTGTGGAAAGAGGCATATTTTGTCATAGAATAAAAGGAGCATGTCTAATTGTGTACCTTACTCGGAGAGCTCACCTCCTCATTTAGAGGAGGGGTCGTGTTGACAAGGTCGCCCAGAGTGGAGTCAAGATCATGTAAGGAGGTAGCGAACTCCGGAGTTGGAGTATTGGGATGGGTGCCCCCAATGTAGGCAGGAACATTAGGAGGAGGAGATGGTGCACTCAGCGGACAGGAGACTCCTCGGTGGTAGAAAAAAATGGGGGAAACATCCATAGGAGTAAGACATAAGAGTATGATAAGGAACAGTGTCTAAGAACTCAAACTCCCCCTCACTTAAGGCCGAGCTAGAAAAATAGAGAACACTTTCAAAAGTGACATCAGCACTCACATAGATTTTGTTTGTGGTAGGATCAAAACACTGCTACCCCTTTTGAGTTGCAAAGTACCCAAGAAAGATACATTATATTGATCTGGGATCAAGTTACTCCGAGTGGGGGCAATGTTTCAAACAAAGTTTTTGCATCAAAAAATCTTGGGAACTAATGTGAAGAAGACCCGATTGGCAGGGAAGAATTACATTAAGAGGGCTAATGGGGTTCGAAACTTATGAATTTTAGAGGGGACTCTATTTATAAGATAGGTGGCAGTCAGACTGGCATCATTCCAAAAGTATTTAGGGATATTGCATTGAAACATAATGGGATGAACAATGTCAAGGAGGTGATAGTTTTTCCTCTTGGTTGTCTCATTTTGTCGAGTGTCCATACAAGAGTTATGGTGGAAGATGTCATTATCAAGAATTCACCCAAAATAGAGTTAAAAAACTCATGGCCATTTTAAATTGAATTAAAATGAAGGTGTAGAAGTTTTGAAAGGTGACAGCAACCTCTGATTTGTCTTTTAAAATGTAGATTCATGTCATTTGAGTGTGGTCATCAATCAAAGTCAGAAACCACCATTTATTGGTGTAGCTGGAAGTACGAGAGGATTCTCATATGTCACTGTAAATGAGAAAATAAGAAGCGTAAGGTGTGTAAGTGTGGGGTGGGTAATGGACCCGATGATGCTTGGTTAACTGAAATGTCTCACAAATAAAGTTAGAAAGTTTTTTATTAAAAAACATCAAGAGATACAAAGTTTTTAGGTATTAGAAACTAGGATGACCCAAACGATAATACAACAACATAATGGGACATTCAATGATTCAAGATAAACTACAGCTCCTGAGTGGCATGTCCTCACTCTTCGTGTCTTCTCTTGGAAGTAATACAGTCCAGCTACCCTCTTAGCAGTTCCAATCATTTTCCTTGAACAACGATCCTGAAACACACAACCATCATAAGAGAAATTAGTAACAGAATCAATATCATTCGTTAGCTTGTTGGCAGATAACAAGTTACATTGGGGAACATGTAAAACAGAATTAGACCGATTGTAGTACAACCGATCAATTACCAGCAATAGAACTACTTAAGTCATCACAATTCTGACAGCATCTTTTCCCATAGCAAGGATAGTAAGTCAAGAAAGCTTGTGAGCATCAAGTCATGTAATCTGTGACACCTGAATCAATAATCCACGAACTAGAGCAGGAAAAAAACGTGAGAGCCATACAAAGAGTACTTAGTCGGAAGTAACAGTTTGACAGACCCGCAGAGACTTGATTGGCTCCAGGAAGCTTGATCAATTGCCCCATCTGGTTTTTTAGGGATTCGAAGGATTCCATGATTTTTCGGGTAGGAGTCAGTTGAATCATTGTAGAATCGAACGTTGACGTGTGACCCTTTGGTAGCAAAAGATTTGGCTGAAGGTTAGTCTGTCGATCCTGAGTGTGGTTGGGTTTGTGACAATAATCACAAGTGGAGTGGTTGGTCCAAGGTGGCATGGATGAATGCTGAGCACTTTTCAAGATCAAGGCGAATGATTCGGCTAAAGGAATAAAAATGTCGAGTATGACAAGTCTTTGGCTCTCTTCCCGACGAATCTCGGTAAAAGCAACGCGGACAGAAGGAAAAGTGTCCCAACCAAGAATACAGCCCCAAACTTTGTCAATGTCTTTGTTAAGGTCAGCCAGGAATTGGAACATGTGATCCTTTTGTAATTTTTCTGAAAAAGAGAAAGGTCGATCAGAGAATCCCAAGTGTAGTCGTAGTATAGGTCGTATTCCATCCAATGTAGAACAAGATCATTATAATACTGGTTCACGATCCTTGACCCCCTGCTTTGCCTCCACAATTTTATTAGACACCTCATAAAGTTGGTCGGAGTTTCTTACATCCAAGTAGATAACATGACAACCATCCAGAGAGCACTAGCTGAAGGGAGGAACATATATGAACGACCAATCGAAGTCTCCATGGAGTTGATCAGCCGAGCATGATCATTGAATTCTCCACTTCCCAAGCTTCATATGTCGGACCAATCTTTGGAGGTTCAAGAGTCATACCTGTGAGGTGACCGAACTGCCCGCAAACTTTGATGAACAAAGACACCGCTTGGAAGCATTGAAGAAAGTTACTCTTGTTTATTTTATGAGTTGTGATCAAGAAGTTCATATTGGTTTCTTGTCCTCCGGTCTGTAGAGAGATTAAGCTCGATGAAGATCCTCCGGTAGACTCAAGCACACTATCGGTAGGCAGTTCTGTGGTGGAGGAATCTGTCATACTTCCAATAGAGCCAAAGATGATGTTGGGTTACCGAGAAATAGGAAGGCTAGCAAGAGGGATATGAATGTTCAGTGGCTGGAAAAAAGACTTCTGGAATCAACACCAGAGTAGAGGGATAGAGTCGGCGGCTAAGGAAAAAACAGTCGCCTAGAAGGTTGTACAGAGAGGCCTCACGTCAGAAAAACGACAGGAAGACCTGTAGGAAGGCTTGTAGGGAGACAGACTAGAGGAGTTGTTGAGATCAGCGGTTGGAAGCTTCAACGGCAGGAAGGATCAGAGGCAACTGAAAGAAATATCGGTCGGCTAGGAGAGATGTCGATCAGCAGCACCAATGCCTAGAGGTGGCTGGCGGCAAGAATCCTACAGGAAAAGACCTGCAGGTGGCCGGCGGCTATAGTGGAACTTTTAGGGTTAGAGTCATGGCTCTAATACCATATTGAATTTGTGACTAGAGCATCATCATATTATTGATAGAATGAGAGGTATTTATACCCAATTACAATGACATAACAAAAGAAATAAATAAAATAGAATAAAATAAACAGGAAAGAGATAAAACAGAATAAAAAAAAAGAAATAAATAATGAGGGAATAAAAGCTAATAATAAGTAATAACGGCTAGGGATTGTCGTTATAAATCTAATATGTCAACACTCTTAAAACTGTCATTTGAGTTATAAGGCTACTCTGTAGCATGGTCATCATCGTCTTCAATTATAAGAAGAAATGAGGAGCTAATATATTAGGAAGATAAAAATTAATGAACAAGCTTGTAGATGATGAGGAGACCTGATCCCTTATACTACAAAAACAGGCACAAAAGATTTAGATGCCATTGAATGTTCTACAATTAGTTCCAAATTCTGAGTGCAAGCTTAGTCTAAAGTAAGAGAAGCAAACAACTTGTTTAAAGATAAAATATCATCATCAGCATGCTTCACTTATGCTTGGATGTTTGATTTCCTCAATTCTAGATGAGCTCTGAAACATTAAGAATGGTTGCGCCGAAAACTTTCAAGTATAAAAACAGCAAGGATGCTGTCAAATTCTATCCGCTATCAATAGGCACATAATGAAAGCCAATAAATGCCTCCTTTTCACAAGTTATATTAACCACAATTCAATCAGAACTCTAAAGACAAATAGTTTTAAAAAATAATTCATAACAACGTCCACTTCAAAGACTTACCAAAAAACAAAACCCAAGGAGTATAAAATAGATTGGGGAACTGATCTAAATGAAACCAAGAAAAACAAATCCAAATAAGAGTGATAAATGGTTCCACAGAAGAGTCAAAGCGATAAAATCCTTTTAGCATACACATTGAATAGCCACTGACATAATAAGATTGCCTCTAGTATATGTAATTTGCTATTCAAGTAAATATTATGATGATATGCTGAGAAAAAGTAAGCCCAACAAAAGTCACCAACCAATTGTAAGTCTAACAAACCAATTCAACATGTTTTATTCTTTCATTAAAAGTATGGTTGATGCAATTATCCTTCCTCTAAGCGACATAATTAAAGGTTGCTCCATATAAATGACTTCAAGAGATTACCATAGAGAGAAATTATCCACGTCCATTTGATCACAATTTATAGTGATGGCAAGGAATCATACAAAATTTAGCCAAACCGTGTAGAAAATATTCTCAAAATAATTATTGCAATAAAATTGTCATCCTTGGCAACCAAGCATGCTTTGTAACAGTACCGCACCATCTAAATAAAACTTGATCAGTAACAAAATAAGTTTAACATCTCCAAGTTGGGAAACTAAATCCTACATGTTACAAGAGTTCCAATCTAACATCTATTGCATGTTTTCAGTTAGAATAAATCAGTGTTTTATAGGTACATTCTTAGAATAAAAAATTGGAAATTGAAAAGGCGAATCTACAAAATGAGAATGATAAATAATTGAATGAGGAAAGAGACTATACCAAACGATAATAATTTGTTGTATAGTTTCGAATGAGTAATTGAGAGATGGAGATCGAAGATTTTAAGCAAATGCTTACCTATAGATGATGAAATAAATAATTGAATGTATGTTAGCGGGAGGCAATCATGACCGACAAGTGTAAACTTCTAATTAAGGAGAAAGTACTGAAATAAGATCTGAAAGAGAAATAATAGAAAAGAATACTATAGTGAAGGTGACAGATACAAACTAAAGGGATGTTTTAATATAATTTTAAAAGATATAAATGAGAGAACCATAGCATCAAGAACCATTCTAAGTTCTGAAAAAACCCCTAAAGATACGGTTAATAACACAAGGAGAAAGTTTATCCCATCCAAGCTAAAGAGAATCGACAAAACAATAACATAAGTGATAAAAAAGTGACAATGAAAGAGATCAACTGAGAGGCATTAGGTGCTGCAGAGATGCAGTAGAGTTGCAGGTATTAACAACAAAACAAGCATCTAAGGATAAAAGAAAGGCTGGGCGGTGAAGAAAGCACGGGATGTGCACATAAGAGGCAGGAACATACTCAATTTGTCTTGCCAAAGTAACATGGGCTAGCAATCAATGTAGAGACAATGTGACTGGGTAGAAGGGTGAACAAGCAGGATGATGCAATGCAAGGATGAAAACATGTTGTGGCAATAGGTATGAGAAAAACACAATGGAAACCTACATATGGGATGCAGATGCAAGCAAGAGTAGATATCTCACAAAACGCCTGACCAGAATCAAGATCCCAACAACGTAAAAAAGTGAATGAGAAGAGAGAAAAGAGCACGGAACCTGTGGCAAAAACCAGATATTTGTGGGTTAAGGGAAGGGGGTACAAAATTTAGGGTTAGGAATACCCTAGCACTTATACAATATTTCAGGAAAAAAGATTTTAATTCAAATTGGTGCCTATATATATATATTTAAAATCAAAGGAATAGCAAAGAAAAAAATTTAGGGTATATTCTCAATCAAGAAAAAATATTACGCTACAATGGCCCCACAAAAGAACATTCTCATCCTTGATTTTCAAATATGCTATGATAGCATATAGGTAATGTGAAGAGAATCGTGATCATAGTTGGTGGCATAAATGGGGTGCTTAGCTGAGGCCAACCGGAATCATGGCCAATTTGGCCATAGAGAGAAAATAATATTAAAGATCATCCCCAATACCATCAAAATAAAAAATATGGAAATGCTTTACGTTGATTCTTCCATTCATACGCCCAAGGATAATTTTATACATCAATATTGATTCAAAATTCTTAAACCATGGAAAATCATAATCAAACAAGCCCAAAGAAGGCAATAAGCACAATAAAGAAAAACCCCAATTTAATTCTGGCGCAATAGGAGTATTAATCCCACATTTCTAGATTGCCACGTCATTCTAATCCTAAAATTAGCTATAATATTGCAGTCATAATCATTTCTATCATTGCAACATCGTTGGGATGTATGTGAAAAAATGGCTTATCAATTCCTTTAACAATTAACATAAACTATTGTTGCCTCAAAAGACAAATTTATCCAAATGATAAAGGCCCGAAGCAATTATACTAGTTCCAACACAAATCCAATAATATGTTATTGAAATTAATTTTATAAAGTTCCCAAAGCCCTCAGATCTAAGCGTGACACTTTGGTGCTGTATTACAAACGGTTGTATGCTCGTTCAATTAAATTTACAATTATACTAGACCCAACAATACTAATTGTAAGATTATTATAAAAAAAATTCAACTAAATATTTGTAGTCAATATTTGATTACATGAAATCAAAAGTGTTTATATGCTCGTTGAAAATAAACAGGAGTTATGAAATAAACAGGAAAGAAAAACAAAAATACACAACACAAAATTAGATGAGGACAAATGGCAAGCAACCTTTCAACTTGGTAAATTTAATTGAATGACTTTCATGGTTATAGAATCTGAAAAAGAAAATAAAAAATTTTACAAAACATTAATGACTTTAAGCTGCAACTATGCCAAGAAATAATACAAGAGTTTAAATGTGTTCTTTTCATTTATAAGTTTTTGGAGGTTGAGTCAATAGCGAGCATATGCCACAAATATCCAGCTTAAACAGTAAATATTAAAAGAATAAGAATTTATAATGTGCATAAGCAAATAGAAGAAAAATAGCATGCAAGCATTCTAACAAATTATATACTTGTCAAACTGTAGATTGTACTAACCAAAGCCATGATCCCTTCGAGATCCCATCTTTTATACGATCCATTGCATCTACCATCTTCAATTTTTTCTCTTGATGAGGTATCTTTCTTGTCTCTTTGCAAGACTAAAGATGATAGGGGCCTTAGAATTATAAATTTCATGATATATCTAGCCTACTAGGCTTAGGATCATGGGCAATATAGATATTCATATTTATACCCAGTAAAAAATTGTAGCAGCGAGCTCCATCAAAGTTTGATAAACATTCCCTAAATGTCCCATCTTATCATCCCTTGACGCATCGCTCCTAGAAGACATGTTGCAATCATTGTTTAAATCATATCATGTAATGAAAGAATTAATTACATTACTACGTGTTGAAAACAGGAAGCACCAGGATGTCCCATAAGAAGCGGCAGTGCCTTGGTCTAGTTCCTTGGCAACAACATCAAGAAGTTGTTCTGCAAACGAAACCTCTTCCAAAGTATATCTGCTAAGCTTCAATTGTATACTAGCATAAAGAATGAAACAAGCCTATAAAAGAAAAAACTCAACAAAATTATGAACAAAAATTATGAAAAGAATTAGCAAAAGTAAAAATATTAGACCTTCAAACCCCGGTCATGAGTTGTAAGCCAAAATCGAAAAAGAAACTCCTGTACAGTAGAATGGAGGTTTGCTGCAAGATCTCCAAGATTAATACCATCCTTTATCAGGTACGTGTTAATGCATTCCATAAGCTTGCGTGAGTACTTTCCTTCATCCCTTGCAATGTGAAAAATTCATACTTTAAAAGAGTACACTTAGCAAGTGTTAGAATCATAGAATTGGATGTGGTTAGCAATGTCTTCTTTGATCCTTGATAATATGCTTTGAAAAAGTGTTTTAAAATCTATCATGATTAAAAAGCATCTCCTAGCAAACTTCACCAAGATGCCATTTATAACGGTAAAATCAGGCACACCTTATGGAAGAGAATATCTCAATAAAGCCTGCAACAACATTCTCCCTAATATTATCTGGATAATCACCAGGTGGGTTTTCCAAAAGAGCGTGAAGCGTTTGAGCGCAGCGAAATGCTTCTTCTTTAGAGGTAGAAGGTAGAGAACCATTCCTACTTACAGTTGATACCACCTTGTCCATGTATAGCAATAGTAGACCTAGTTGGTGGAAGGGACAATAACTTAGCAACAAAATCTTTTATATCATTAGCATGTCAAGCATGTTGTAAAGAATGATAATAGGAAAACTCATAAATTTTCCTACTTGCATAAATGCGATGCCTCATCTGATAACGGTATTCATTTATGGACAACAAGAGCCGTAGGATGCCACTGTACTCTAACTGAAATGTAGGAACATCCTTTACAACATCCCATACGTGATTGAATAGCAGCTTAATGACAGAGCGCAAAGGGAATTTAGTAACTGAAAAAAAAGTAAATTCGTTTCAGTAAGATCAATTGCAGAATCAAAAACAATTGCAGAAATAAGTTGCAGGTAGTTGAAGCAGCTATGAGAGACAAGGAGAATATTGTTATGCAAATAACAGATTTTTTAGGATGCATTAACTTCTAGTCCACGCCATGATCACCTATATGGATAGAGCAGTTATTTGTGCACAAGAACTTACCCAACTCTGCGATTTGAAAGATTCACAACTCTATGGTGCCACAAAATCAAATTAAGAAATACACCAAAATGCCAACCCACATAAAACACTCAGTGTGCACAGAGCATGCAGTGATATAACTACACATGCACATAAAGCATTACTAAAATATAAGTGAAGAAGTAAATTATTGAATATGTAAATGTAATTATCCAGGTTTTAGACTAAAGCATGCCAAATCTTTTTTTTCTTTTGAGCCACAAAAATCCTACTACCTCCTTAAATCTCATTTTCCTCCCATTCTAGGTAAAAGCCTGAATTTAGCAAATCCTTGGGGAAGTAGAACTTAGGAGATTTATCACTTGTCACTATGCATCTTAATTTACTGCATTTAAAACCAAAAACTTTAAAATATTTGCCAAGCAATTTACTAGCATTTAACACAATTTAACATTTATCATAACTTATAATGTTTAGAATTTAATGCCTCTAGAATTTACTAAATCTACACATACAAGAGTTACTAAATCCTACTAGAAGCCAAACAGCCCCTAGGAATAAAAACCCTGAATAAGATCCAATAACCAAATGTAATAACTTGTCCTCGCCCCACCCTTTTGATCCGTACCAGCCAATGCTCGACTCGGCCTTTTTTCCCTCACCACCTAACCTCTTATTAAGTCCCAAATCAGGACTTAAGGCAGGAAACTTGGGTGACCAAAAATGGCAGCAATAGCAAGAAGGGGAAGGAAATGGTAGAGTCCAAGAGGGAAGAAAGGCGAACGTGTGTGAGAGCACACAGATTTGCAAGCTGAAAGCCTTGTAAGCCAGGAAGAATGCCCGATTTGGTTACTTTAGCTTTGACAGGTTCATTTGAAGGGAAGCCGATGGAAGAGAAAAATGGAAAAAAGGTTCGACATTTTCTTCTTCTCTCCTTCTCACATCATCACATCACCACCATCTTCATAACGTATTTAAGCTGGATAAACCTTAATCCCAATATTTTGCCTCAATTATTTGGTGGTTGCTTCTAAGTGAATATATATTAAATTGTTACTATGATCAACTAAAAAATTTTGGGGCCTTCCAAATTAAAAAAAAATAAATAATAAAACTAAATTAAGTTTAATATTGTGTAATAATGAAAAGAGTTTAAAATGAGTGTTAATGATATTTAACCTTATGTTATCTTTGCAATGAATACAAATTTATAACTTAGAAAGTATAAAAGAAGAATAAATCAAATTCTATGCAAAAGAAAAAAGATTGAAAACATAGTCATTATTACAAATATAGAAGTTAATTTTTACAACATGTGATTAATGAATGTTTGTGTTAAACTCATCTTATTTTACGCATGAGTGTATAACGCACATAAATACATATAATATAATTTATGATTGTACTTATCATTAGTTATACCAAGAAACTTATAACTTAAGTGTTAATAATATTTTATAATAAAAATATTAAATTACTAGTGATTAAGCTTGGTTAGATATAACTTATATCTTTGGTGAAATTTGTAAAACCAATCATTTCAAGAGTAAATACATTATTTATTATTTTTTTTTAATAATTGTTGTGCAATATATTAAATATGTAAAATTTAAATTCCTTTGAATTTAGGGTTTGTATAGCACAGTGTGTTTGAGCGAGAAAATCAATGTTATGATTGAAATGTTGATCTGCCTATAATCTCTAGTGGTATGTAACTTTTACTGGGTAAGAGATAAACATATATTTTCTTGTTATAATCATATTCCTTGCAACAAGTAGACATGTTTTTCCTGCTAATAAATTTATTGTGGAATGTGCTTATTTAATTATTTTATTTCATACAATCATATTGATATAATGTGATGGTTAATTTTGTTTTGATTTATTGTTGCATAAACTCCTGCACATTAAATTGTTCTCAGTAGTTATAGTATTTATTTTCAAGCGTGTCAACGCTTTTAAGTTCAAAAAAAAATATTTATTTTAATTTACATTTGATATATAACTAATAATGGTCATATTAGTAATAATATTCCTAATAAATTATTTATCTATAATGTGCCAAATGTGCCTATTTATTACAATATTATGAATATTAGTATTAAGCCCGTTTAAACATTGACAAATCCAATTAATGATAACTCTATATTGAATCAGTCAATTTCCTTAAAATTTGGCATCATAGAAAACAAACTACAGATATGTATACGAATATTAAAAATATCAATATATGACTAAATCCCCTTTATAATATAGCTCGAGTCCTCTTCAAGGCATAATATTGAGAATGCTCATTTCATGAGCAATTTCATAACAAATTTCGGATCTAATCAATAAGATGAGTATCTTATCTGTTGATACGAAGTATTCTGGCGATCCTCACGATCCGAGTCCGAGCTGTTGGAATCGGCAACGGATCACGAAATCTTGGTTATCTTCTTTATAGGAGTCCGTTTGGAAATCGTCCACCCTGCGCGCACCCCCCGAGTATAGGATTCAACAGGAACAGGAATCGCACAAGGTAGATTGATAGAACGCTCTGGTAAAATACCCACCAGTACCCATAACCCAGCAAAGAAAGCACATTATATTAGGGACGACTTACCCATTCAGTGACTTTGGCACTAGATGTTCTTAAAATGGGGTCAGGTGAATTAGAGAACAGACTAACGTCTGTTGGCATTCCAGCCTATCCGAAAGAGGATCGTACCTCTTGGTCGTGAATATCTGAATATGACGAAGCCGTCTATGTGGATATCTTTGCTTCGGAACAAAGCAATTAGAATTAGGCTCGGTCAACTAGAATGTGTGTGTGTGTGTAGTATGCATGTAAGTGAATATATTTATATATGGGAACATTGATAATTGGTAGGTATGGATTCTTCTTTAAATGTGTATGAGCATTACTAGATTAATTCCAATTTTAAAATCTCAACTTTATACACATTATAACTGTTACAATATAACATTCAATTTTACTCATGTTTGTTTCTTTGCTCTTATTTAAGCTCTATGCTTTCTCATTTATAATTTACTTGGTGGAGTTTCACCTACTGATTTATTTCTTATAAACTCGCCTCTCATTTTCAAGTGTTTAATCATACACCCTAAAGGGAGATTTTAGACTCAAACTTCCAGTATAACATTAGAGATGTTTAAGGTTAGAGCAACTTATTTAATCCGATATTTTAGTTATATAATATTTATCTTTTGATAGATAGATTGGTATGATGTTTTTAGATTTAAATGCTCTAATGATCTTATTAGTAGACAAATGTTATTGAAATCAAGTTCATATTGATTTGAACTATTTTTTTGATTTTCAGCTCACAAACTTCTGTTGAGTTTTCTGTTAGTTCCTTTGGTGGGGTGAGGTGTGACACCAAATGCCTAAAATAACCATAAAAATGCTAAGTAAATATAGCCATGCCACAAATAGTGACAAAACCAAATAGGAAGATGGCATGAATATGACATAAGATATTAAAATCCAACACAACTATACCGCATAAAAGAAACTAAAAAAGAATGATGCAGCAGTAGATTTGATAGAACCGTATCGTGTCATCCCTTTGATAGGCACCTGATTCTTTGAAACTAACCTGATAGCTTGGGATCTTCAGCACGATGAATAGCTATTCGTAGGGTCTTTGCCAGTAGCAATTTAGGATGGCGCTTCTTGCTCGCTGATATCTCCAACGCAATGCACTTGGTGAGTAGGGTGAGTAGAAATGGCCACGACTCTTCTACAAGAATTCAACAAATACCGAGCCAAAGAGTGAGAGCAAAAAAAAACAAAGCCTAATAACAAATCCTCTTTACGGTAAAAATCAAAGAATAAAAACAAATCCTCTTTAAGGTAAAAATCAAAGCCAGCTAACCATGAGGAACTCCATCAGGTCCGATCCTTGCTGTGTTCTTCGCGAGCAGCAGGCATAAGCTAGTGGACCTCTCGCCTTCAAGCCAACTATTAAGGAGCCGAATTCCTTCCTGGAAATGATATGGCAAAAGTTAGCAGATTCTTTCAGTTTTCCTTTTTTTTTTTTTCTTTTTTTTCCTTAAGAAGTGAAACCCTTCAGGCAAGCTCGAGGTGGAGTTTGGAGCAAAGACAGAAGAGCTTACGTCGCGCGTTTTAGGTTTGTCCGAGGAGAGCTTGGTGATGATCTCTTGGACGTCTCTCGATGTCGCCATGAGCGTCCTGAAGAGAAATTATCTCCTCATTGACTGCTGCTAGTTCAACGTCTGGGTTCGTCTCTGTCAATGCGTTGGTAAAACATCGGACTGCGCGGAGTTGCTCCTAGAGTGAAGAAAGAAGAGGGAGCGCGGGCATGGAAATGGGGGAAGAGGGTTTTAGATGGCTTGGGTTTTGGACATGTAGCACCAACCTTCACACAATGATGACCGGACTGCAGGATGTTGAGGGACTTCTATTATGGTTAGACTCTAACAATATTTATACGACACCTTACTGATAAAATGTCATATTTATTATCTCTAATATCTCATAACCTCGGCTTTCATGAGGTTTTGTTAAGCTTGTAATTTAAGCACATCAATCTCAAACATAATTTTTTGTTAAATATCACCCAAAACTTCTAATATCTCAATTCTACCACTCCAGTACACCCACTTCAATGAAGCAAGCACAGTGATCTCTCTCGAAACAACCTAGTCGTCACCAGCCCTAAATAATGGCATGGTTTAGGGACTAGACTTTCCTCGATGTCAACCAACTTGCATGAATGACTAAAGCCACTTTTGCTCCCTACAAGTAGTCTTCCCAGGTACACTGCTTGCTCTGTTGCAAGCCATCTCAAGTCTAGCCCATGCAAGCGGAGACAATCCCTATCTTTTGTTGCACTAATTTATTTCAATCTACATTTAACAATTTTTTTCTATCACAATGCTTCCCTTTTTCTTCTCGACCTTCTAGACTGGAAGAATGTCATGTTCTTGCTTTTGGTATGCAGAAAGCCCAAGATCTTTCATTACTTCACCATTTTTTGGAGATTTCATTATCATAGGTGGCTATAAAGTTGAAGATGTCAAAAGAGAATATGTTCTCATAAAAGTGTTGACTAAAAAGTCACAAGGCTCGAGAAACATCATAAAGTGTGGCTATAAAGCCGAAGATGTCAAAAGACAATATGTTCTCATAAAAGGGACGACTAAAGAGTCATATGGCTTGAGAAACATCATGAAGAGTGACTATAAAAACGGAGATGTCAAAAGACAAGATATTCTCATAAAAGAGTCAAGTAAAGAGTCATATGACACAAGAAATATCGTAATATGTGACATTTTCCTCGTAAAAGAATTAACTACAAAGCACGATATGCCTCAAAATGAGGCGCTCTCATCAAAGGTTGGCCAAGCAAGCATGACAATTCCATTGACTGGAAAATTATCATGCAGTTAGGGAGATATATATCCCGACTATATATCAAATACTCTAGGAGGTTTGTATCTTGTCTAAGCATTAGACTAGATAGCCAAGGTAGTATAGTCGATAGGAAAATGTCAGATTAGCATAAGTGATCTCAATAAGCAAAGATGTTCTCGTGCAAATAACTGACTAAAAATTTGATATAGTTCTCGCGAGTAAACCATCGAACAAATGACCATGTGGCGAAATAGCCCAAGATAGTGATCCACCTCAGTGATTATCACAATAATGTCAGTCTCCGGTAATGGCACCAGAAACTTGATCCTCTCCCTAACAACTTGATTAAGTTCTTAGAATCAAGTGTTCCTGCACACTAGGGTTTTTCACGCAAGTATACGTATTATTTTAGTAATATAAGATTCTATTGAGTCTGGATTGTCGATCCCACAGAGAGTGAGGTAATGAATCCTTTAAGAGAATTTCTAGTATAGTACTTTTTGTTCTTAGTTTGGAATTTTGATTATCCGAAAGCTCTACCAACTATTCCTACACTACTTTAATTAATTCTAATGTTAAAACCTATCTAACTTGATTGAATTGATGATTATCAAGATATAAAAGTTATCCCTCTCTTGTGATGATATAAATCCTTGTGTAGGAATAGATACTTCAAATTGCAAATGTGATCAGTGACAAATATGAGCAATTATCTTCTTCCGAGTGCATAAAGAAAGTTTGATTAAACTGGTTTTAATTCCTTAAACCCCAACTTGAACCCATTAAAACCTATTCTTCTATCTATTTGCATTGTTCATAGTTTACTTACACCTTACCCTTTCGAATAATCTGAATACTCTAATCGTTCTTCAAAGTCATAATGGGTCAAACAAATTTTAACAGTTTATATGGCTAGTTTAAAAAGTAAATTAAGCTTTGAAGAATACTCATCACATTGATGTTTAAGTATCAATTCTATAAGCATCCTAATATCCTGCACATTCAGGTTATTCATCACAAGAGAAAGGTAAGAAAGCTCTACTCACAGTGCATGAAGAAAATACCATAAATCATCATCTTATAATAAAACAAATCCACTAGAATTGTGTTTACAAACAGTACAAAACAATATAGAACACAATAATTTGTTTTTTTTCTCTGAGAAAAGAGATGAATATTCCTCCCCAAAAGTTCTCCCAGTGCTCCCTACAATGGTAAGTATATCGCCTTACATATTTCTCTTCAATCCCTCTCCAATCTCTCTAAGAAATTGAAAAATACAAAACTCTAAATCTATACTACAACTCCTCTACCTCCTTGAACTTCCCAAGGCTTCAAAATGTTCAGGAGGGCACTCCCAAACTGCCTACGTTGTGTTGAAATGCCTGTAGAAATTGCTCAAGCAGTTTCCAACACCTGGGCGCCAGTCTGTTGGTCCCCATATTGCATTGTTTCGCCTTTGCTTCACTTAATCTCAGCTCTACATCACTCCATATGTCCTACCTATTATACTTGCAAGAAAAACATAAAAAATGTCTTTCTTTAAAGTGCAATTTCATCCATAAATAGGTGCAAAATATAAAGAAAATTATGCATGCTTTAGGACATATCAAAATCCCTCAAACGTAAGCGTTACTTGTCGTCAAGTAACACGACAAATTTAATAACCATATTTATTGATTTAAGGAAATGGGTTTCATTTAATTGTTATACAATTTTTCCTTGAGAATGTCACAGTGTAACTTAAGAAAAATTCTAGCAAATCAACCTAGAACTAGAGCATAAGAAAACCTTGTATTCAACTTCGAAATCCTGATTTTCTATCTACTTCGAAAATCATTGATATTTGTTAAACATAGAATCCTTAAAAAGACTTCGAAAATCATTACTTCGAAAATCATTGATATTTGTTAAACATAGAATCCTTAAAAAGTATAAAAAATAAAATTAAAGCACTCTATTTTTAAAGATTGACTAATACTTTTTGAAATAAAATTAAGTTTAGGATTGTAATAAAGACTTTTTCTTTAAAAAGATTCAAGTGAAACCACTTTTTAATTAGGTTTCTCCTCAAGTTTCTCCTCCATTAAATTTTTTTTTCTCTTACTTTCTTTTTCTTTATAATCTTTTCAATCCTTAACACATCTTAGGAGAATTACTATATCTGGATAGACCTTTAATGATTTTAAATTTTATTATCATATCCATAAAGTAAAACCTATAACTCTCCTTCAATTTTAATTTTTTAAAAAAATTGAAAGTATTAGTTGAAATAAGTTTTTAACAGAAGTTCAATTCTTATAAAATATAAATCTAAGGATTCCTAGTTTTTCAATTATACAATTATTTTCTACAATAAATAGTAAAATCACTTTTCTAAAACTTTTCGACAAGATGACTTAACTCTATAATAGTCTTGTTTACATGGAATTTCAAATAAATTTACCATATCATTTCTATAATCAAAATTAAAATATTCTAAATTAACACCACATACCTCAAGTCCTTTTAAAAACATAAAAATTTTACATGCAAGTTATTGAGGACAAAAAAAGTTAAGCTTTTAAAATTTTTTATCCCTCAAACTTGATTTTTAATGTTTATAGCATTCAGAACAGAAATATAAGCAGAAAAAAAAATAATTCATAAGTTCATTCTACCACATGTGTCTATCAAAATCATTTACAAGTATACTCGGGAAAGAAAAAATATGCAGTAGCAAGTAAATCTTAACTAAACATGTTTATAATGAAATTGTACAAAAAAAGAAAATCTAAATAACATAATAAGTAGAAACACAAGAGTATCTATAACAACAATACCATATGTCCATACATATATTACAATTACAAGATGGGAATATGTCCAATACATCAGTAAATAAAGAAGAAAATACAACAATGTAGCAACAGTAGGGAAAAACTATGAATCATGTGATACATCCAAATCAATGAAATATACTCCTCATCATCATCACAATCATCTTCAGAGTCTTCCTTTTCAAGTGTATCCTCCTCCATCGTCTAATTATGCTCGTATAACTATTATGGAGGATAAGTCGGGAATTCCATTGAGTTATCCCCTCTAATCCACTGGTTCCTCATGTACATCTCCAACTGTACAAACTGAAAGCTCGCAACATAATCATATTGGCATTTGTATTATTAGTCCAAATGAGCTATGTGGTCAGCAATTTCATATACAATCATCTGAGTAATGGAGATATCCTCCTCCACTCTATGCAACCTATCTGACATTGATGTCATGCTGGTAGAGGGTCTGGGCTATGAATAGGATGTGGAAGGCTGAGAAGAAGAAGGAGCTTGAGAAGAACTCGCTTCACATCCAAATATATCATGCTTGTTATAAAAATTTACATTAGCCTTACTAATTCGCTTCAGCGGAAGTAGCAGTTCTTCCCACCCATCAAAATGAACTCCAGAATGCTAGCAAAGGGCAAAAATGGTTGACTAGTGTTCTAACCCCAAAGTAGATCCTCGCTTTGTAGTATTGACTATGGAAAGATAGATCAGGGCTCCTATATCTATGGATTTCATTGTTTGGATACAATAGTTGAGAGAAGCTCTCCCTCACATCACCTCACTAAGATTGGTGGAAAGGAGAGCTTGGCTGAAATGAAGTAATGCCAAGCGTTGGAAGGTGCATTTAGTTTAGATGATGAAAATTTATCCATGTGGTCATTCCTCACCTTCTAAGTCTCTTACCCATTAGTTAGGAATCTAATGATTTCATCCAAATCAGAATTTGTACGGGAAAAGCTGATGTAATAACTCATTGAAACATCTCTAAGCAAAAATAAAGCATTAATGCATGATGGGAGATATCCACCTGCTTCTCACTAACAAATACTGAATCGTCAGAAGCAATAGGTTCATATAAAAACCCCGAACCACTAAAATCACTGTTGCAATTATAGTGTAGCAGAAGTCATCCTAATTTATCCTTACAATCATGCTTTCCACTAACCCCTAGAGCTAATGAAACCCCACTCTGCTATCAGTTTCTTTGGTACTAAGAAGT